CTATTTAATTCTTATCTTTGTATCTCCAGCATGTAGGACAATGCCGTGCACATAGCAGGTGTCTGATAAATGCTTGTTGGTCAATGACAAGAAATCTAAGGAGAAGAAATAGTCACTCAGACTCTGACAATTTTGAGAGCAGGGACCCCCATGTCTTATATTACTTTGTATACTCACTCAGTCCCCTCCTTCCTCTCTCTGCCTTGCAATCTCCCACCATACCCTAATACCAAGGATGACACTGAGTTATACTCAAGCTATACAAAGCAATGCTTTGGAGGCAACTAGGTGGTGCTATAGATAGAATGCTAAGCCAGAACTTTGGAAGACCTGAGTTCAAATCCATCCTCAGACACTTACTAGCTGTGTGACCCTGGGCAAGTCACTTAACCCTGGTCTGCCTATTCTGTAAAACTGGGACCATAATAGTCATCATTTCCTAGGACTGTTGTGAGGATCAAATAAGATATTATTTATAGAGTACTTAGCATAGTACCGGGCACATAGTAGGTGCTTAATAAACCTGGTACATAGTAGGTGCTTAAAAAAATAAGTTGATTGGCATTTCCCGATAGACATCCTTTATGCACAGGGCACCATGGAAATTCATTTAAATATTTATTCAGTCAATTCAACAATGATGATTCAACAAATGCTTATCACTCATATACTGTGTGCAAAGAAGAAGCTAGGTAGTGCAATGGATAATGCTCCAGGTAATGCTCCAGGCCTGGAGTCATGAAGACCTGAGTTCAAATCTGGCTGTGTGACCCTGAGAAAGTCTAACCCTGTTTGCCTCAGTTTCCTCATCTGTAAAATGAGTTAGAGAAGGAAATGGCAAACCACTCCAATACCTTTGCCAAGAAAACCCCAAATGGAGTCACAAAGAGTCAAACATAACTGAAACGACTGAACAACAACAATATTGTACAAAATAGCATGATTCTACTTTACCTTAACAAACAGAATTGGCAGCAATGGTTGGGAGCTATCGAGAGGCAAATTAGGGTTTCATGTAAGGAAAAACTCTAAAAATTAGGGCCATCCACAGGTAGTAGGTTTGCCCTTCCATGGAGGTCTTCAAGTGAAAGCCATTTGACAGGGATGAGGTAGAGGGTATTTCTGTGCAGTGACATTAGTCTAATGAACACTGTTGTCATCAGTGGTAACAACTTGTCCATCAACCACTATAGATATTTTGTATACCAGTATATGTGCCTATCAATGAGATGAAATTTAAGAGGGATAAATGTCAAATCTTACACTTGGGTTCAAAAAAATCAATTTCATAAGCACAAGATAAGGAAGGTATGGCTAGACAGCAGTTATCTGAAAAATGTTTGGGGAATTTAGTGGATTGTAAGCTCAACACAAGTTGACATGTGGTACAACAGCCACAAAAGCTAAAGCAATTAAGACCGTCACGCTGTCCAGGATGGGGGGAGTGATATCCTCTGTATCCTGCTCTGGTCAGGCCACAACAGAAATATTTGTGTCAGTCAGCAGCTAACAAGCATTTATTAAGCACTGTGCTAAGTGCTGGTTCAGTTCTGGGTATGACATTTTAGGAAGGATATTGATGTGGAAGCATATTAAAAATGTCTTATTTCCTCTTCTTGAACCTTCTCTTCCGGAGGCACCATCCTCAGATGGCTTGGTCTCTCACACCCTCATCATTCTGATCATTATCCGTCTAGACCAACTACAGTTTGTCAATGTCCATCCTAAATAATAATGTTATTTCTTAATATTTCTCCAACCTAAAACCCTTTATAGATTTTTCTCTTTAGGAAAGTGGGCAGGACAAAAGCTAAGGCCTTTCTTAGGGAAAATGGATTAATGGTGAGAACCAACCTTAACTCTGGTTTAGCTAGGATCACTGCCTCTCTCCCCATTGGAACCATGACCCACGTAAAGACAAAGGACTCTTTTGCATTCAAGCTTAAGATCTTGATCACGGAAAGGACCACTTTGCAATCCTTAAGAGGAGTGGTTCAGGAAGAAACTTAGTGGTGGCTATTCTGAAATGTTAACCCCAAACTGTATCCTACAAATGTTGCCCCAATCATTTCAGAGCAGAAAATCACCTTGGAGGGCATGGGAGACTATACTAGTTTGGACATCTCTCTCGCCAAGCTTAGTTATAGACATAGCTGAAAATTCCAGACAGAAAAGCTACAGGTATCCTGGGATCATCTCAGGGACCCAGTCACCCTTAAAGTCAACCATAGAGATTCAGGCACCCATAGGCACCAGTCACCCCTGAAGTTTCCCATAGCAACCTACACACCTTTGCAGTCATTCATAGAGACCAGTTATTCTTGATGTCACCTCAGGGACACAGAACCTTTATGGTCACCCAACCACCACTGAGGTCAATCACAAGCATCAGCTATCTCTGACATCACCTCAAGGTCTTGTATACCCTTGAGGTTATTTACAGGGACCCAGCTCCTTTTTTCCCTTAGGTTACTCACTGGGGCTCAATGACCTTTGAGGTTATACACAGGTACTCAGCAGAGACCCAGTCTTCCACAAAGACTCAGCTGCCTCTAAGACAATTGAAGGCATGCAACTCCCTCTGAAGTCACTCACAGGGTCTAGTTACCCTTGAAGTTACACACAAGGACCTGGACACTCTTGAGATTGGCCAGAGGAACTCAGCTGACCCTGAGGTCACCTTGTAGCATTGTTACTTGTATATACATCTTTTCCCCCTTTTAGATGTCTAACTCTGTGATGTTGTTGGTATGGGTACTCTTTCCACCAAGGCAGATCACAGCCCCTCTATTACTGGACAGATGGTCTTTGAGTCATTGAAAAATGTATCACCTTCTAGCCCTCTAGCCGATGTGCTGATGGACCAATTCATGTATTATCATCTATTGTGGTTATCTATGTAAATGCTATATCCCTTCAGCCTCCACTTCATTTCCCAGCCACCATTTCCAAATTGTGGCATTGAGTGTGCAGCCCCTCCATTTCCCATTTCTCTTTATATGCCTTCCTCCATTAGAATGGAAACTCCTTGAGGGCAGGAACTCTCTTGCTTGTATTTTTATAGTCATCACTTAGCATAATGCATGGCACTTAGAAAGCACCACTTAATAAATGTTCTATCTATCCATGTCTGTCTCTGTCTCTCTCTCCTCCTTCTCTCTCCAAGAGTCCAGGCCTTGTTTTATCTAAAATTTTATCTCACCCAGCATTTAGCAAAATGTTCTGCACAGGTTGTTGTTCGGTCATTTTTCAATCGTGTCTGACTCTTCATGACTGCATTTGGGGTTTTCTTGGCAAAGATACTGGAGTGGTTTGCCATTTCCTTCTCTAGCTCATTTGGGGGGGGGGCGGGGCTAGGCAATGGGATTAAGTGACTTGCCCAGGGTCACACAGCTAGTATGTATCCGAGGCTGGATTTGAACTCAGGAAAATGAGTCTTCCTAATTCCAAGCCCAGCACTCTATCCACTGTACCACCTAGTTGTCCATTGGAAAAGCAGGAGAGAGCTATCTGAATGTCCTTTCCAGTCTTGGAGATGGCTCATTTCCCCTTTACTTATCTGATTATGGAACCAGAATTACATATTATAATTATCATTGCATATGTCTTATCCATTTAATAGAATGTGAGCACAGAAATGACATTTTCTCTAAACTGTATTCCTCCCTAGTGCTTAGCATGGTGCCCTGCACATAGTAGGTACTGTTGCATTGTATTAAAACAAACAAATAAGCAAATAATGGACTCTTAGCTTCTACCTCAGACTGCCCAATAACTACTTGCTATTTGCCCTTCGTTCTTGAAGAGGACCATGACATCAGGGAGGTGATGCCATGACATGAGAGTGAATTGGATTTAAGTGAGGGAGGGCTGAGCAAAATCACCAGCATCACCTTTTCCTCCAGAGCCATCTTGGTCCAGTGGCAAGATATAGATCAGGACGACTGGAGATAATCCAGGATGCAGTGGGGGACCTTGACCTTTTCAAGCTAAGGTCTTTAACAGGTCTCAGTTTGACTGAGACAGGACCCATTCAGTGATTAAGGCTTAATAAGAAATGAGGCAAAGAATGGCCTCTTAAAAAAATCAGTCTGGAGGGGAAGACACTCAGAGTTTCTGGCCAAAACAGAAACATTTGCTACTTACATTCATTCTGAGCCAATCAGGGCCCAAACAATGACCGAGTAGGGCTTGGCCTGGGACCTATTGTTAGCCAGTCTAAGAGAACCAGAGTGATTTGGGATTTAGGCCTGATAACTGCTCATTTTATGAAGGCATTGTTTACAACCTGACACTTCAAGAAAAAAGTCTGGCAAGGGAGTGGATTAATAGGCATAGTTAGGTTAGCAGCCCATTAGCTTTATCTTTCCTTGGCTGTGAGATTGGTTACATCATCAATGAGTTTCTGATTTCCCTTAGGCAGCAAAATGAAAGTAATATCCTCAAATAACCAAAGTGATTTCAAACAAATGCTTGAGGGAGTTAAGGATTCTCTGTTGAGTTGCTCCGCCCCAGAAGTCTTCAGGGGCTGTGGCTACCGCATCAGGTGAAACTCTTTTGGCATTCCCCAGTTCCCTGGCAGGTTCATGGGGGACCAGAATATATAACTAGATTGGCATTCAAGAAAGGAAGGAAATATGCGTCATTTTCCCTGAACAAGTTTTGACATTTTCCCTGAAATGACATATTCTACCGATGTCTGATGCTCCAGGCACTACTGCTGCTTAGTGATGACGATGGGGCAGGGATGGTGAGGAACATAAAGGTAACTGTGGTTTCACTGGGCCCATTCTGACAGCCACCAAACAGCAACAGAAGGTCTCTGATTGTCTCCTGGCCCTGCTTCTCTGTACAGAAAATACTGGATTTGCTCTAGTAAGTGATATGCCAGGAGCAGGCAGGTCATTTAAAGATCTAGTCTCAGTGAATCGGCATAGGGAAAGCTTTCCAGGCACTTGTTAGAAGAGAATCAATTGAGATATATTTTCTTTTCTTTGCAGCAAAATTCTTCATCCAAGTCAACACCAGATCCTTGCCTAAATATGAAGGGCTCTTTTTTCTCCAGATGCCTTTTCTCAACTGTGTTTTTACTATTTGTGTTGCCCTCTTTGGGACTAAAAAGACTCCACTTGGGAAGCTGTGTCCTCTCCATGAACTTTCAGGAAATAAGGAATGAATTTTTGGAGATTAAAGGCTATGTGGTATGTAGGGGTTTGTGTGTGTATGGGGAGGGGGTGTCCCACTTTGCTGGTGTCTGAGTTTCTCCCATGCCTTCCCTGCTAGTCACATACTCCCAACTGGATTCATCTCTTGGAGTTTGTACGCAGAGACACAACCTAGAACTTGGGGACGTGAGGGTGGGAAGAAATTCATTCCAGTTTTTGGAAAGGATGTCTTTGACCTTGGTCCTGGGGAGGTGGGAGGTGGGAAGTGAAGGACTGAATGGGTTTGCCATTCGTGCCTCTAGGTGGAGCCATTAATACAAGTTCTTCTTGATTTCCCTTCTGTATAGCAAGCTGAAGATGAAAATTTGGACAACAGAATCTTGAAGAGCTCAGAGGCTTTGCAAGACATAAAGGTATGGGCCCGGCACAGAGAAGCTCTGGATGGAAAAGTGGGGTGCAGAATTTCAGGAATCCCAATATCCCAAGCCATCCAGCTGATCCTCCTATATCTAACCCCATCCCTTCATTTTTCTCCTCTAGCCCACAGAGAGGTGTTGCTTTTTCCACCACTTATTGAGGTTCTACTTAGACAGAGTGTTCAAAAACTACCAGACATCCAATTACCACATTCGCCGGAAGGTCAGCAGCATCGCCAACTCCTTTCTTGGAATCAAGAGGGAGCTTCGACTCTGTGTGAGTAAAGGGTCTTGGGATACCAGAATCCATCTTGGTATATAGCCTAAAGGAACTTGGGGCTCCTTCTCTACCAGTGCCTTCATTTTATAGGTGGGGTGACTGAAGCAGGTCTAAATCATGTGGTTAGGGAGCAGAGGAACTCAGTTTTCTCGATTTCTAAGAATCTACTCATACTCCTTTACTAGGTGGTACACAGCAGCATGTATCAATGCAACCTGCATTCAAAGCAAGCGATCAGCAGTCGCCTTGACTGCTTTGGTATCATGAAGGTGTCACATGGCTGAGTCATAGGAAACAGACCAAAGTCTGAATAGGATTGGGTCATCCAGGGATATCTGGCTTGCAGTAGGAGGAGAGGAGGGTAGGACCAACAGGGGACTGGGAGGTAAGCTGAGCCCACTTTCTTCAGAAAAAGAAACCAAAGAGCTGAGTCTCTAGGCTGGCACTTTGCAGATTATTCATCCTTCTCGCACTTAGTCCCAATCCCATGGGTTCTGGAAAGTCAGAAAGGAGAAATTCTGAAAGGATTTGTCATGAGGAAGAAAGTACCTTTATGCCTGGAGGTTGACTTGTGAGGAAGCAAGAATAATTCTCACCCATACCATTTCTGACAGCATTCTCTAATGAAATATATCCCTGTTTGTATCCTTTACAGCATGACCACTTGATGTGCCACTGTGGGGAGGAAGCAAAGGAGAAATACACCCACATTCTGAGTCACTTTGAGGAGGTAAAATACATAGTTGACATTGGTGAGGTTGGGTTTCTTTCCTGGCTGACAGTTCATACAAAGGCTGACAATTTCTACTGCTATAGAGTCCTATAGTCCTGGAGCCACAAGGGGTCTCCAGAGGTGATGGTTTCTCTTCCCTCACCTCTAAGCAAGGCCTTACCTGTCTGAATTCTGCAAAGACTGGCCATCCCTTTGTGAAAGAGCTCCTAGAGCTATCACTTTCCTTGTCCACAAGTTGAAAAGAGGACAGGGCTACCATCAAAATCACCCTAGTGATATAGACAGCTTCCAGTCCAGCTGCTGAAACTAGAGGCATACTCCCTCGCCCCAACCCCCATCCCACAGCCTCACACTCATCTTAAAAACACAACCCAAAGTGTCTTATCTATTGAGATTGGACTGCTTTCAAAGCTTCCACAAGGAGGCTCAAAACAGAATGCATTGCTCACAGTTTCCAACAGACCTACCTGGGAGGAGTGGGTGGAGGAGGAGGAAGACTAGGGGAGGAGGAGGTCAGAGGTTGCTTTTATCTGATGTAATTATTGATAAGGTGATGTAATGGCAAGAGTGATGGGCTTCAAAACAGGATACCTGGGTTCAGATCCTCAATCTGATACTAGCTGTGTGCTCTCATCTGTAAAACAAGGGGGTTGGATGAGATGAGCCCTAAGGTCCTTCCAGTTCTAAATCTATTATCCTATAACCATTTTCAAGTCACATACCTCCCTACTGGCTATGTGACCCTGGGCAAGTCACTTTACCTCTAATTGCCTCAGGCAGCTCTTTAAGAATATAAATTAGAGAAAGGAAGGAAATGAGCATTTATTAAATGGCTTCTATGTGCTAAGTACTGTGCTAAGCTTTGTAAATATTATTTCATTTGATCCTCACAATCCTGTGAGGTAGGTGCTAACATTTCCCCCTATTTTAAAGTTGAGGAAACTGAGAGAGAGAGAGATTAAGTGACTTGCCAAGGATCACACAGATAGGATGTGTCTGAGGCTAGATTTGAACTTGGTTCTTCCTGACTCCAGGTCTCTATCCACTGTGCTCTATCCACTGCATCATCTAGTTTCCTCTCCACATCTACTGGGAATTCTTCAACCAATCAGCACATATTAAGTGCCTAATGTGTGTCAGGCACTATGCTATATGCTATGGCTGCAAAGACAAGAATGAAGCAATTCCTACCCACCAGGAGCTTACATTCCATCTCCGTACCAGTGATATCATAATGAAATCCCTTCCCTGTCTCCTCAAATTTGATATTTGAAGTACTCTAGAAATGTTATTGTCATTGTCATTTGGTATTCACCAGAGACTTTTCTGGTTTCTTTTAGCTAGATGGTCAGAAGGCTGTGGTCAAGGCCCTGGGAGAGCTGGACATCCTCCTGAGATGGATGGAAAGAACTAAATAAGAAGAAAAAAAGGCCACCTTTGTGTTGATCCCTCTGTGGGAGTTCAACCCTCAATAACACTCACTAAGCTAGTTCAGAACGGCTCTTTCCTTCATCATGTAATAACCTGATTATTTATTCCATCCATGGTTTGTGATCACGGAGCAGTCCTATGCTCCACGTCCCTACAGCTGAGTTTGATAGGATGGTTTTGTTGCCCCCTTTTCTTTAATGGCATGTATTTATTAATATTGTATATTTATTGTTTCTTTTTTAACTTTTTAATGTGTTATTTATTTTTTATTTTGATAATGTTAAGCCTCTCCTTATTTATGTCTGTCAATTGAAACTTTTTGTGCCTGTCATTAATGCCTCTTGAATTTTCCTTTACCTGAAGGTCTTTTGAGTCTAGAAAAATATATGTGACTATTGAACAGTCAGGTCACCTTATCTTTCTAAATATCAGTTTCTTCATCCGTGAAATTAGGGCTTGGACTAGTTGATAGGGTACTGGACTTAGAGTCAGGAAGGCCTGGGTTCCAATCCTGCCTTAGCTTCTTGGAAGTGACCCCAAGCAAGTAACCCAAAGGCTTCTGGTAATTTCTCTAGGCCTCAGTTTACTCATCTGTAAAGTGGGAGGATTTGGCTTGATGGCCTACAAGTTACCTTCCAGCTCTAAACCTATGATGCTATGACTCTCTGGTCTTTAAGTTTTCCTTATCTGTGAAATGCTTACAGTGCCTACCTCACAGGATTCTTTTGAGGATTGTATGAGCTAAGATACAAGGCTCAATTGTTATCTCCTTAAAAAAGAACTTTCCTGATTTCCTCAGTTGTTTTCACCTTCACCTCCCTCCCATATGTACTTATTTATATCCTGTATTTATTTATCTGTGAAGACGTTGTAATACTCCAATACAATGTAAGCTCCACAAGGGTAAGATTCATTCCTCTTTTGTATTTGTATCCCTAGAGCCTAGCACAGTGCCTGACACATAGTACATACTTATTAAATATTGATATTAAGCAATTAACAATAATAATTTATAAATGATAATAATTTATAAATAATATTTATTACTTAACTTATGATATATGTAACAAGCCTTAGGTAAATGTCAATTATTTATAATTACTTTCTGCTTAAATATTCTGTAAGATCAACTGGAAAATGAATTCAAATTGATCCAGTTCCCTGAGGAAGTAAATTAATGTCTCTGGGCCTCAGTTTCCTCCTCTGTAAAGTTTAACCATGGAATTAGATGGTGTCTGAGGTCCCTTCCAGCTCTAAATCTATATTTAATAAGGATTAGACAATTGTTGAAGAGTCTATGACACTGAATGCCTGTCATGTATCTAGGGCTGTGCTAGGATTTATTTATTTATTCTTTATTGAAATGAAGACATTTTCTTTTTTAAAAAAATGTTTTAAAAATTGTATATTTTATTATAAACTTAAATGTCAACAAACATGGACATTTCAATTTACATAGATCAGAAATATGGTTGTTTATGAACACTGAAGTTCTGTTACGTAATTTAAAATATGTACATATACATATTAAATTGAGCACAGTAATAAAATTGCCTTGTTTCTATCTCTTCCTAAAGTTCTTATTTTTTTCTTAAATAAACTTGACTCCCAACTCTACCACTTATTAGCTACACAACCATGGGTAAGCAACTCTACCTCTCTGGACCTCAGTTTCCTCATTAGTACAACAGGAATAAAAACACTACCTGTCTCATAGACCTATTATAAGAATGTGCTTTGTAAAGTGCTTTAGAAATGTAAACTCTTAAGGTGACCAAATAATAAACTTCTGGATTCCCTTGACCTCTTGAGCTTGAATAGGCACAACTATAAAAACATTTTGCAGGTTTAGTAGAAAGTTGGAGACCTGACTCCAACACTGTCACTTATTAGCAGACCATTTCCACTCTCTGGGCCTCAGTCTCCTTATCTATAAAATGAATATTAGAGCAGATGATCACTGAGGCTCAGTGCCTATGGTTCAACAATCCAACGATCTCTTTTCCCCTCCTCCTCATCTCTTATCACCCAGATGCCTTCTGTCACTATATCCTTTTTCACTCCTGACTCATGCTCGAGGTAATCTCATCAACTCCCATGGTTTCAATGATCATCTCTATACAGATGATTCTCAGATCTACTTGTCCAACCATAACCTCTGGTCACATCTGATCTTGCATCTCCACCTGCCTATTGGACATCTCACATTGGATGTCCTGTAGACATCTTCAACTCAACATGTCCAAACTGAACCCTTTATCTTTTTCCCCTCAAAACCCTTCCAACTTCCTTTTTACTGTTAAGGATACCACCATGCTCCCTGTTACTCAGGAACTGGTAACATCAAGCTAGATGTCATTCTCAAATCCTCTCTTTCTCTTTTGCTTCTCTCTCTCTTCTCTCTCTCTCTTCTCTTTCTCTCTCTCTTTTCTCTCTCTCCCTTCCCATGTCCAATTTATTGTCAAGCCGTGTTGTTTCTACCATCTAACCATTTGTAGTATATGTCCCCTTCTCTCTGACACTGCAATCACCCTGATACAAGCTTGCGTGACTTCAAGTCTAGACTATTACAGTAATAGCCTGCTAGTTGGTCTCTCTACTTCAAGTCCCTCCCCACTTCAAACCAGCCACCAGTCAGCTGTCAAATTGATCTTCTTAAAGTACAGATCTTGTCACCTCCTGTGTTAAAATTGTATCTTGTGCTCACTCCTCTGACCACCCCTCTTCTAGTCTGTTTAATAAGTACATTTATAAATAGTACAAAGTAGAAATAGCAGGAAGCAAGATTGAAAAGAGGAACCTGAAAGTCATGTACAAATGAGCATAATTTACAATTTTTATCATATATTAATCAAAAATCACATCCTGGTAACACATGCTGAATCAGACGAAATCATCTAGGCTTTGTCGTCAAGGCCTTTTGGTTCTGTGATACAGAATCCCAAACCTTTGCAGTAAAAAACAGCAAGATAGCCAAAATGCTGATGGTAATTTTGAGATGATGTGGGCTTGTTAACGTTAAAGTTTTACTGACAACTTTGAGATGATTTGGACGTGTTAATGAACTAACCCAAAGTTGGCACAGGTAAGATTCTGTTCCCTGCCAAAACCCTATAAAAATGAGACCTTAAACTCCTGCCCCCTGAGCCTTCTTCCATCTCTGTCTGGTTCATGCTCCTTAGTGCTCCCAACTCTAATCCGTGGTTTTGTGAATAATATTTTCTGCCTCTCCCCCTCCCAATCCTCTTCCCCATCATTGCCTCCTTTCATCCACCACTCATCCCCTGTTCCCATGTTCTCTGCCTCTGTGTGCTTTTCACCATTTGTCTCTCCACTTTCTGTACCGTTTGCCCTGACACCCTCTGTGCCTTATTAAAGTGATTACAGTCCTCACTTCCCACTGCCATCATGGTCTTTCCTGGAGAGTGCCCAAAGAACCAGCCATACCTACCCCCATTTCATAATTTCATAAATTATTTATCAATTTACCTCCCTACTCAATAAACTCCAGTGCTTCCCTGTCACTTCCTTGATTAAACAGAAAATTATCTCTTTAGTGTTGCAAGCCCTTTGCAACCTGGTCCCTTCCCACTTTTCCCGTCTTCTTATATTTTATTCTTCCATACTTTGTGAACCAGTGCCCTGGCATCCTTGTTGTTCCTCATATAGGACACTCTATCTCTAGATTCTGGGCATTTTCACTGGCTTTCTCCCATGCCTGGTAAACTCCCCCATCTCATTTCTGCTTCCTAATTTCCCTGACTTCCTTAAAGTCTCAGCTAAAACCCTGCCTTCTGTGAGAAAGCTTTGCTTTCCTTCTGAGATTATCTCCAATTTAGCCTGTAGATATCTTGTTTGTACATAGTTATTTACATATTGTCTTCTCATTAGATTGTGACCATTTTGAGAGTAGGCTCTCTGTCTGTCCGTCTGTCTCTCTCTCTCACCTTTCTTTGTATTCTTAGCTCTTAACATAGTCCTGGTTCATAGTAAGTGCTTAATAAATGCTATTTGATTAACTAATAAATGCTTATTGATTGATTGACTGAAATCATGGAATAAATACAAAGAGCTTTACACAACTAAAAGCACAAACCTCTGTGGGTGTCATCCTTCTGATAGAGAGTAGACAAGGGCAAGGCCACAGAGTGGCTTAAATGCAAAGAATCCTTCCATTGCTAGGCTGTTCTCAAGACATCTGTCACTTACTGGTGGGTGACAACATTGTTCTTGTTTCCCTCCTCTCCTCCATTCTTCCCTTTACCATCCCAACTCTCTCCCCAACCATTGCAGTGGGGCCAACACACAACAGTATGTCTCCCAGGCAGAGTAGTCTTAAATAAGGTCAGGCTTGTATGACATCTACTTGGAGTTTCTGGTGTAACACTTCCTCTGCATGGGACCAGTGCTAAAGACTCTATGGGGCAAATATTGGGGTTGACAACAAAACATCTTGGGAAATGTAGTTCTCTCCTCCCCCCTTTTTTAAGCCCAGGAGAAAATGGTAGAAACATTACATAGATTTGGGGATTGGGATACAAGATCTGCAGATGGAATGAGTTCTGGGCTCTATGGACAGACAGCTGAGAAGGAGAAATGATGGTGAAGTAGCTCAGAAAGTATTGTGGGAAAGAGTCAGTAATGTGGCAAGAAACTTCCACCAGAGGCAGACTGGCCAGGAATAACCAGACTAGGAGGCCAGGCAAGTTTGGTGAATGTTCCCCAGCCATTAAATCCAAACTCCTGGAGAGCTTTCTCTGCCTCATTTTCTCCTTCCCTCTCTTCTCCTCTGAACAAAAAAAAGGTGATCATTTCCTAATTTCCTATCCCTTCTGCCTTTCCCACCCTACCCTAGTTTGTAAGCCTGGCTCTCCTTTTTTGAGTTTGTTCCCATTGTTTGTAGGTCTGTCCTTATTAGAGCTTAGCTCTAAGTAGTTTTTTTTTTAATATATCATTAACAGATTCTTCTAGCTATGAATTGATAGGTTAATGGGAGGTGGATGGAGGAGGGGAGAGGAAGAAAGAAGTAATTTTATTATAAAAATTTTTGGAATCCTTTAATTTTCCAAAGAGAAGACTTCATGGGAACCCAGGGCAAAATATTTCCCCTATAACTAAAGAGCTTAGACTACCGTGATCCTTTGCAGATGGAGCTAACTAAGAACAGCAGGTCCCTGAACTTCCCAGACATGGGAGAAAGATGAAAGGAATAGAGAAGTAAGGTGGAGAAAGTCTCACTCCCTAAAGAGTCCAATGGATGTGGTCTGCCAGGGTTTTGACTCTGTCCCCTTCAGGTTGGGAGAGGAAATGAGATGAATACTTTCTCTCTCTCTCTTTCTCCCTCCCTCTTTCTGTCTGTCTGTCTCTCTCTGTCTCTCTCTTTTCTCTCTCTCCCTCTCTCTTTCTCTCTCTCTTTTCTCCTCCCTCTTCCGCCTCCCCCCAACCCCAGTGATAGCTATCGTTATGTGACACTGAAACTGGATTTCCTAAGGGGCCGAGTTCTCTTTTAATCTTGCTAGTAATCTTTGAGCCTATCTGAGGAATCATGACGCGAATGAGGCTTAATGACTTGCGGAATCTCCTTCTAATCTCTTTATTTATGACTCATCTCTCCTTCTGGGGCCCCATTTTGGCCTCATCACTTTAATTCCTGCCCTGTTTCCAAGCCAGAGCTTTCTTCTTTTCTGGGAAGAGATCTAATATGGAGAAACAGCACAGGACTGGGAGCCACTGGGCTTCCTAGCTGTGTGTCTGTAGGCAAGTGACTATCTCTGTGAGCCTCAGTTTTCCTCATCTATAAATGGGGATAGTGAGGTAACCATTTTATTGTGAGGATGCTATTTTATGAAGAGCTTTAGAAATATGAACTGTTATGGTGACCAAATGGTATTAATTGCCCTCTTTTCTTGCTACCCTCTCTCTTAGGTTTGGGGTTCTTTCCTGAGGATTCAGG